AGAGAGTCGCGCTGCTGTGGGTCTCGGCGTCGCCCCTTTTTCGAAAGGATGTACCCATGTAGGTCGGGGGGGTGATGACTGATGTTATGGCAAGTGCCAAAGCCTGTGTTCAGTGTTGCCGCGCCGCGCACGCGGTGCCCCCACCCCCCACATACGGCTTCACCCACGCGCACCGGGCCTTGCACTTTAAATGCCGTGGGGCTCCTGTCGTTAGACGTGGAGACGCGAGGGTTGCCCCCCCTTGCCCCACCACCTCGTGTGTGTGGAGAAGTTTACCTTACCTTACCTTACCTTACGGCTTTATCCGCCCCCTCCGCAATAGCTCAAAACACGAGACACGTGCCACGATCCACGCGCGCGGGGTGACCCACAGGTTACTCAAGTCGTTACTGTAGGGACGCACAATGAAGGTCCAACCAAGGAGGAAGGAGCTAGGACGTAGGAGGGAGAGGAGCGAGCAGCGAAAAACAACGCATCAACAAGGATCACGCCGCCCAACAATCCTAAATGGTGTAATGCGTAATGCTATGGTGCTACCCTGCATGCAAAGTCGCTCCCCCCAGCGGCCAGCGCCCGAGTGACTAAGTTTTACTCGAGTAGCGCTCTAGTAGGGAAGGCCAAGCAACGCCGTGGTAGAAAAGCACGTGGAACCAGCTCATTGCGCCGGCGCCCATAGCCGCAACCGCAGACTCACGCGCCTGCCGTAGCTCATCAGCGGCGCGAGCCACACAGCGCCAGCGGCCACGTGCGCCTCGCTGGCGTTCAGCATCGCGGCAGCCTGCGTCGCAAGCCAGCGATAGGTAGCCAGATCCGCCTCGGCCTTGTGGCTCTTGACTTCGCCTCCGCGGCCAGCAGCTGCTGCTCGCGCCGCCCGGCCTGCGCCCACGCGCGTCGACACAGCGATGCCACGATGGCCCGCCAAGGCCTCGATTCGCTTTGGCTGCCACTGGTTCTCCTCGTTGCCGTGGCCAAGCATGCGACGAGCTCCGCTGCCCCAGCTCCAGATGGAGCCGTCGGCGGTGAGGGCGAGGCTGCGGGTGTCTCCACTCCCGTGGACATGTCTGCGAATCCAGCCGACACAGCAACAACGCACCGCACCGCGAAGGCCTCTATCTTCTTGGGCAGCGGCTGGTTCTGATCGCTGCCGTGGCCCAAGGCTGCGCGACGTCCGGATCTGCCACCGCCCCAGCTCCAAACCGAGCCGTTGGCGGCGATGGCGAGGCTGTGGTGCTCACCAGCCGACGCCGCGATGACACGCTGGGCCACCAAGGCCTCGACCTTCTTAGGCACGACTGGCACGCGCAGGCGCCGTGGCCCAACTGCCCAGAGTATCCAGCGCCCCAGGACCAGATGGCGCCGTCGGCAGCGATGGCCAGGTTGTGGCTCTCTCCAGCCGACACCGCGACGACGCGATGCCCGGCCAAGGCCTCGATCTTCTTCGGCTGCCACTGGGCCTGCTCGTCGCCGTGGCCCAAACGGCCTCGGTTGCCATCGCCCCACGTCACTCACTCCTTAGAACGAACTAAGTAAACTCACCGAGGTTGCCACTCAACCTCCCGGCTCTGGGGGGAGGCGGGGGCCTTAGAGGGTATCCATGCGGGGGGGAGATGGGGTCCCACGGCCCGCCGCAGGCGCCGATTTTTTCGAGACTTTTTTCTTTTTTGCGCATTTTTTACTTGTTTTCAAAGGAATTCGCCGTACTTGCGGCCATGCTATCACGCCTTGCGACAGCCTGTCGGCGCTGCTGACCGTGCCCTGCTGCACAATTGACCACCTGCATAGCTCGCGGCCTTCGTATCCACCATTCAGTGACGACCTGATCGTACGGCCAGTAGGAAGGTGTCCTTCCAGCGCGTGCACGCTTCTGACGCAATGCGCGTCACAAACTGCCTCGGCGACTGGCTGCTGGCACTCTCGAGGCTATGCCTACACAGCCTCGCGCGCATGGGCAGTCAAGAGGGACCATGCACTTTCTCAGGACAGCGCCAGTGCCTCTCCCTTGGACCGGCAAACGTGGTGGTCTCGTGTCACCAATGTGGGACCAGTGCGGCATCGCGCCATCGACAGCTCTGAA